TTACGTTATTTTTTTTTTTTTAAATAAAAATTGATAGTGTCCTGCAAATAATAATACGAAGCTGGCCTGTTTTCCTAATGTATGGATGATATATGATCCGAATGTTATTAATATTCCGAGACAAGGGAGACGTTTCACTGTCGAAGATCGATGTTCTGGGAAATTTAACCGAAAATTTACGTAACGGTCTGATTAAATGGCCGCTTAATTAAACTTCGTGCCGCGAGAACGGCGGCTGAGTGGTTCAGTGGTATACAATTCCGTCGACGTTATATCGGTAGTTATTGATAATCTGCGCGTTGAAAACGTTTAGTATTATTTCATTAACAGCGTTCGTCGAATGTAATTTCTGTAGGAAAGCGTCGGGTGTCATTATCGCCGACGCGACTGTTGAAAACGACGTGCCTCGCAATTGTTAGGAACTTTTCGCTGAAATCTGGCGGTGAGGCGTTTGGGAACGAACCGGCGTCTGCGGGGGACGTGAAATTCATTGTTTACGCGATGGAAAATGACGAAAGAGCGCGACTCGAATAATTGCAGTCGTCGTAAACAAAGAAAATCGAAAACCAAGAGGCTGGTTTTCTGTTCGTGATATATTTAAAATTTTCGTTACGATCAAATAATTCGCAGATGTTTTAGGAATTATTTGGACAGATTAAACGCCAAACAACGCGGCTCATTAGATCGACGATATCAAATGGAATGCATTACAGCCCGGCGAGACCGCAGTTTCTGCACTTGGTACGCAAACACGAAAGCCACGAAACGGCATTGATGATGCTGGTACGCTGATTTCGGGTATAATTTACAAATTTCCTGGCCGCGGGCAATTCTATCGCGGTCGTGGCTCCGTTGACTTTGCGAAAATTGACACCGATATTAATGTCGAACATTTGCAGAGAAGGAAAATCGAAAAAATTGTGCTCTATGAAACGAAATCGAACGATTTTCCCTTGCGTTCCCTGCGATAAGCCAACGCGTTTCAAGGGCTGTTCCGCGAAGAAAAATCCTCTAGAGGGGTATCGATTTTGCGGAAACGAGCCCTGTCGGTGATCGTTGCGCGATGGATTCCGTCCCACGCGTTTCCGAGACACTGCGGAATTCCGCGAAGAACGAAGCAAAAGAAAGATAACAGGAACGGCGAGTTGTATTCCGAGATAAAGCACCTCTCACCTTTTACGCTCCGCTCGCCACGGAAATGAGAAGAAACGTAAAGAGATGGAAAGGAAAACCAGGCCTCCGGAAAATTATAATTTATCCTTGACGCAGAACAGATTAATTTCTGTTTTTGTCGTCTCGAAGATGGTTCCTTTGTTCGCGTCGTTATGGGATCGTTTTTTTTTAATAACGCCGACCGCGAGATCTCGTTTTTACCGAGACTTTTATTTACGATCTATTTTATTAACGCTCCGGCGTTTCCTGTGTCGGGGCAAGAAGGATCGATGCACTCGGTTGATACGATGATATCGACGGGTGATAAACTACCGACGAACGTTTGAAACCAATAGAAATTAGATGCAGAAACTCGTCGGCAAGGCAGGAATCAGTGGTAGGAACGCGGAGGCGTACAGGGATCTGACAGGTGCCTGTTCTGTCGGTAGAAAGTCATGGACGATCGATCAAATCCAGACCGACGTTATGACGAAAGTAATTGTATCACAGACGAGGTATACGGGTAGATCTTTCACCCAATGTATTTTTTCGGCCCAGTTTTCTGGGACTCTAGAGCCCCATTACCATTTACGTGTCACTCACAATGTTACCAAAAGATTTAGAAATAAACACAAGAGGAAGTAAGACAGAAAATTAAATTACAGAAATTTTAGTATGTTAATGAAAGCTGTACGGTCCAGAATTGACTAGAAAGGGAAGTCTTTTTGCTCGTAAAACGCGATTTCGTGATGGAAATGCTAGTAATCATTGGTACGTGTGATACGAAATCTTAACAAATATTAAAATAATATTTTACAAGAATATCAATCGCTGCATGTGAACTCCACACAGAGTACTTACTCGACGATGGTGTGAATTCAACAATTATAAATAAAACTTGGCATTGTTTAACATTGAAACGCAATAGTTTGAAGAATTCTTAACAATATGTGGTATATGAGTAATGAAAAGGTCCATCAGTATGCGTAAATAATAATTTCTCGCGAAATAATTTGTCCGCCTGACGGGTCGAGGTGGCTGACACACGCTGGGCTCTCCCCACTCCTCTTTGACAACATTAAAGGCTCATGTGGGGACTCGTATGTCACAGTCGCGCGGGGGACTCGAAGGGTGGCGGAACTCCTGGCTTGGTGGGCATCCTAGGATGACCAGTGGTGACCAGGGGGACCAGAACTGACCATTGCTGACCACTACTGACCACTACTGACCAGTTCTGGCTAGCGCTCCTACCCATACTGACCACTACTGACCACTACTGACCAGTGCCGGACGGTGATGACTACGGTAAGAACTGTTTAAAAATTCTCTCCCCTCTTTTATTCTATCGTTTGATTCCAATTTCGCTTCAATGAACTGATTTTGCCTTGCTTGCCTAACTGACGTTGCTATAATATGAATATTTTCTTACTTTACAGCTGGCCCCGTGGTAACTACCCTATATAATGACAACAAGTAGTAAGTCCACTCCATTTATTTGTATTTTATTATTTTTATTTCTTTGTTTGTATGTGAATTCAACTTTGTTTATCTATCTGATTTTATTTGGTTATTATGAATGTTCCTTTTCTCTGATTCTACTTTTATATTGTTTGTCGAATTTATGTTATTGCTTTGATATGTATAATATTCCAGGATATAATAATGTAATATTGTTTTCAATCGAATACTACATTTGTTTCCATACAATTTCATGGATTTTTATTTTTACGTTCTTGCTCGAATTCTCGTAATATTCTACGGTGGTACTTTGGTTGAGTGGTTTGGTTGGGTACTTTGAGAGGTATTTCGTTTGATTGTTTGGTGTTGATTCAACTTGGTGTCTCGATCTCGGTTCCTTTCATTATTACGAATCTTCGTTTTCATATCGTATTTGTTTCGATGATTCTGATCAATATAAGAATGTTCGTTTTGATACGAATAACATTTGGTCGAAGCATATATAATATTTGCCTCCATGACACCGAATGATATAGGATTTTTATTTTTACGTCTCAGCTTAAATTCTTGTCACATTTTGCTAATATACTCTGCTCAATTCCCTTTAGCTAGGTGATAGATCATTTTTAAGTGTCTATTCAATTCACTACCATATCTCACTAATATAAATATTAGTTTTGATTCCAGTTTCAATTTGGATTAATCGCAAGGACATCGAGGGAGAACGCCTCAACCGCCGAGGGACTTTTAATTGCAAGTTGATTAGTCTCATGCTTCGTCGCGAGTATTAAAATTAACGTCGAAGCCTTCTTTATTATACGTGTATCCGCGCTGTACCAAGCAATTATTCAATAAGTAGCTTCTCTCTCGTTCGTTCCCTCGTTCCTAGCTTCGATCACCGCTGTTTCATCGATTGAAACGTGTGATCGGCTGTGTATCTGGTCCGAAAGATCAAATCGCCTTCCCTTAGGTAGCTAGATCGAGGGAAACTGGTACTCTGCTGGAAGGTGTGGAGTTTCCGTATCCTGCGGAAACGCATACCTTCCAGCGGAAGTCGACACTGAAACAGAGGTACTCTCTCTTTGTCAGACAACTTGAGTCGGGTCCTTCGGGCTCCCGGCGGGTTGCGTTGGAGCAATGGAGACCTTAGATTCGGAGTCGCAGCCGTCCATTATCCCATAGAGATCTAGTTAGCAAGGGCAGTAGGTTCGATCCTCGGATCCGCTGCACGGTTCAGCGTCGCGTCGCGTCGCGTCGCGTCCCTCAAATTAACTTCGTCCCACTTTTTAACCAAATAATTGCTTGGTACAACTAAATCAGAATATCCAAGGAACTTTGTTTCCTTCTATCGTCCGAATTTTAGTTTCAACTTGACTAGACTCGAGCTTCGACGTTAATTTTAGCCAAGTAATTATTTAACAAGTAGCTTCTCTCGACTCGTTCTCTCGTTTTTCGCTTCGATCACCGCTGTTTCATCGATCGAGACATGTGATCGGCCGTCCAGTTTGTCCGAAAGATCTAGTCGCCTACCAATGATAGATCGATTGCTAGAAATAGAAATCAATCTACCAAGGGCAGTGTTGATTCGATCCGAAGATCTGCTGAACGGTTCAGCATCGCGTCGCGTCGCGTATCCCATAATTTAGCTTCACCCCCTTTTTAAACGAAATAATTACTTGGTGCAATCTAGCTAAGCTTAGCTAAAAGGGAGATCGATGGAACTTTGATTCCATCTATCTCCCTTCGGGTCTCCACTCGCAGCAACCTCCACGTGGTGAGACCTGGGTAATATTATTTAGCGTTTAATTAATAATCGTATCACTCTTAGCTGGGTAATGCAATTATTAAATACAAACTAAATAATATTAGCAAATTGGCTGCGATCCGCTTTGTATAGATCATCATAAATATAGAGCTTCTTCGCTAAGTTTTGATTCTCATTGATTCATCAAAGATTTCACTTGAAGTATTGTCACGTTTCGTTTGGTAAATTATCATTATATAAAATTAGTTCGCATGGAAAGTGTTGTAGTTTTAGAACATCGACTGTCTTTTCAAACGTATCGTTAGCATCTCGATTTGTTAAAGATATCGATATAGAGTGTTAGAGATATATGTTGGCTGCAATGACACGTTGGCTGCGATGATATGTTCATATTTGTCTCTTGTTTATGTGAAATAATATTCAATTGTTATTAATGTTCCCAACCATCTACAACAATTGGTAGCAGAATGTGGTTTGGTGTGATTAGAAGCGATCGGAAGTGGAAAGTGTCGTAGACAGGTTAGGAAAGACGCGCGGCGAGCGAACAGAAATTATAACAAAGTGTTTAGCGACAAGAGAGGTGGTTATCAATTCACACACGACATTATTTTGTGGATTTACGAACCTGAGCTTCGTCTACGTGATCTGGAACATCGGGGCTGGCCGACCTGCGGCCATAAATGTTCGACAGAGTCTGGTTCACCGGAAAAGCTGGACCACCCTGCAATAATCATACGATCTGAAATCATTCTCGTCCTGTTGTCAACGAAACGGTAAGCGCTCCCGTTAAATTCTCCGTTTCTTATTAAAATATTACCATAAATTGCGCAAAAATATCTCGAGGCCACTCACTTCTCCCACGCACGACATTCCGATAAGTGGCGCCCCCTTGTATCGATCCCGCTACCACAATAGATTATATAATTATGCTAATATCCTCTCTAATTCGGTTGATTTATTCCGTGGTCCAGTTAATTCATTCAAACTATGTATCCACAGGGGGGCTATCGCTTTCTAACTTTGTTTAATCATGTAATTTCCAACTACCCGCCACTCGTTATATTTATTGCTATTTCGGATAAATCATACGTCGATACGTAACTATAATAATACCTGCACCGTTTGCCGCTCGGTTTATCACAATGTTTATAGTAGGAGGGTTGCATGCCCATTTAAATAAGTAAATAAATTACAACGAAGTAATTTACATTACCGCAACCTTGTTCGCGGAGTCTCTCGTGTATCGAATATACGTCGTTTTGCATAATGAGCAGCGTATTTTCGTCTGCTTTGTGTAACATATATTATCGTTGGCATATAACCAACATAGTTATCTCTCTCTCTCGGAAGAGGGAACATAATTCCACACGTTCTAATATTAATTAAGAAATACGAATGATATTATGTTTTTCTTCCTTTAATATACAAGGTATTCGGTCACCCCTGAGAAAAATTTTAATGAGAGAATAAGAATAGTAATTTGTTGACGGAGGCTTCGGCTCTTCGTAGACTTTCCAATGAAAAAATTCGAAGTACGTTGCCTCGTAAAAAAGAAAAAGAAAGACTGGTCGTTTGACCAGTCATGGTAGGAATGGATATATACGAAGTGCCGGTAGGTTTAATGTTAAATATGTGCCATCGTCGTTGTATCGCGTTACAGGAAGAATTTATTCTTTCTCGCGTCACTGCATCGTCGAGGGAAACACGACGCCCGCCATTTAATCGCGTTATTTTTTATCGTACAGGAGAGCGTAGAAAATTCTGGATTTACAGAACCCCTTTACTTTTATTAAGAAAGTCCTCAGAGTCCGTTAAAATGATCGTTCGCTCCAAATGAACCCTTCTTTCAGGCACATTAGCTTCCCGAGAATTTTTAATTATATTGTAAAGTCGATGCTCCATATCGGAGCAAAATAGATTTGAATCCATGAAGATTGGCTTATGGAATAATCAGATTACAACTTCCCTTGCAGATTTCGTTTCTACGTGTACACTTTGTGCAAAGTTTCAGCGTTTAATCTTCGTCGTTAGTTAACCCCCGAGTACCTCTTTACGTGGTCTTCTTTGATGGCGCTGACAAGCATGCTTAGTACAGAAGGCAATAAACTTGTAGAAGTTTTAAAACGTGTACTTGAACCCCGGCTAGGACTACTCGGTACCGTACATTCAGGTACTTCAGTATTTCGCAAAGCGTGTCGTACGGGTTTGCAAGATACAGCCGAGTAGATGCCAGCAGATAGCAACTTCTCTTCGAGATACGATGCGTGAATAAGAAGCTGTTGCAAGTAAAAATGCCTCTTGGCACCGACGCGTTGGCTACCAGTGCCGGATGATGATACAATATTAATTGTTTTGGTACGGACACACAACTGTCGACTGGAATCAAATTTTATCCCAAGTCTCTGCCAAGACAAGCAGACCACGAGATTTCCGCTGCTGGCAGCGACCGATAAGAATGGATCGTCGTGGATATAGAAGGTTAAGGATCAATTTATCGCGGTGAACGGAAATGCAAACGAAAGACCACTTTTCTCCGGGACTGACGTTCGAGGAAAACTGCTAAACTGGGCCGAGAATAACGTGGGTTCGTGTTTGACAAGCACCAGCCCCGGTTTAGCGTGTAGGATCGTTTATGTCAGTGTACCTCAACCCTCTCTGGCTCGTTGTCTAACTTTCGAACGCTAGATTTGTTCATACGCGAATACCATTTGTTTCTCGCAATTAGTTGGAAGATGATTAGCTCTAATTTTCCGGATTCCTGAAAAAATAGCCAAAGTTGAGAGTCCCTGGTCTAAAACGTATGACGCCATGATCCTTCTCCCCTGACATATTTTGATTTTACGCTCGCGGCCGCGAACCAGACAGCAATATATTCGAATCGTGCTTAGCTGTGCGTGCAAATTGAAAGAAAATACTGCGCTGAAACGACTCCCGTAGTCCCGGCGCGGGGAATTTGTTTGCGTTTTATGAAATATATGAATTTCCCGTACGGCTGATTACGCGACAACCGGAATTTAGGATCGAAGGATGAAAAATTCGCGATAATTAAAATGCAAAACTGCCCGACGAATTGACGCTGATTGATATTTAATGGTCGTTGAGAATAATCATAACCACTTTTCATCGTTCATCGATTCGGCGTATTCCGCTAAAACGACGATGCGCGAGTTCATACATTTTCACGCAAACATTAACCTTATCATTCACGAATTATTAAAAAGTCAGAGGGAATATTATTTCTCCGTATTCTCGAGTATATCATATATTAAACCTTCAATCCATAATAACAGATTCACCGTGAATTTTAATAATATATAGCTGTACAAAGTTATAAGCTGCTTAACGACTTGATTTTTGTTTTTTAATTAAACTTCGACACGCTTCGCTAGGTTTCTAGATACCATGTGTTTAAGATCCAGTGCAGGGACTTGGAGAACGGCTTCGTTAAAAAAGTTTCCACGCAACGTTGCTATTCGTGACGCGAGGAGGACAGTTTCGACTGATTATTTTCGGTTCGAGATGCTTCCCAGCCGTTCCCTTTTCGAGTTCGAAGAAAGGCACGTGTGATCCCTTATACAGAGTCTGCCAGAACAGACGGATTCGAAACCCACTTGTGCGTCGAGTTCGTTTATCCAAAGATGAGATGGAGCCTCGAGTCTTCGGTAAACGTTCCGCGCTACGTGCTCCTCTGTGTTTGAAATCCCGAGAGAAACGCGGAAACTCTTCGGACGCATTGAGACGAAGGCCAGGAAAGTTTCACGAAGATAAATTTCGAAGCGAGCTCGCGTAGAAAACAATACGCTTGTTCCCCCGCTCTCAACCCCCAACGAAATTCAAGCTGTCCCCGAGCACAAACAGCTTCGTCCGTTTCCCTTTCGAGCGCGAATGCAAATTAATCTTAGATATCGTCGCCGATCGCGTTCGTTTCCCTGAAACGTTACTATCATTCTTGGTTCAATTTAAACACATTCTATACGCGTTTACCAGGTGAATTTTCCTTCGATATCTTCTGGGTATTTTTAATAATTAATAACTTCAGCAAACGTAATTTCGAAATTCTTGATTATCGTTGCTTCGAGTCAACATGCCAAAATATTCACAGTTATATAATTACCGACTCCAAACGGCAAACATTTGAGAATCGTCGAACAGTGGGACATTTACCTATGTCGATGAATATACATGTAGTTGCTCGCCAAGTGACGAATGTGTGGCTCTAGCACTTGACGCGTTACGTCACTCTAATGTAACGTTAGGTATTAGGTCAATGGTTAATATGCACCGTTTTGAATCGAGGCATTTTTGCTATTTAATTACCATACCTCTGAACATAGTTTATTATCTCTTTCTCTTTCAGAAAATTATCGAGGTGACAGAAAAATTCTTAAAATATCGAATAATTAAAATTTATCACAAACAAAAAGTTTTCTTTCGGGTTCGATCGATCGTCCTCGATTAGATATCACGTACGTTCCGTGACGGAATATAGTCGAAAAGCTCGGGACGTTGAAACGAACGTAACGCGCGTTAGAAGTTCATATTTATATTGCGGATGAGTTCGGGGACGAATTTCGATGATATTATCGCGGAACTTTCTACCGATGCATGGTTACTGGCACGATATTCCCGTCTGATGGCAGTTTAACCGTAACTACTGACAGCTGGCGTTCGTCTAGTCACCTCGGTCTGACCACAAAGCGTCAGTATCCGGCAACTAGCACCGCACACGTAGAAGGTCCGCACACACGGTTCGTAGGAGTGGATGGTGCCCGTAGAAGTTAGGCGTTCCCAATAATCCACGGTTCTTGATTTTGCGTCGCCACGAGTCTCTCTAATCGCTCCCCCGTGTCTGGAAATTTGTCGGAAACTGGAGATGGAAGACGGGCACCGAAGCCTTCCGCGTAAATAGGAAGTCTCCGTGTGACGGAAGTGGCGAAAACTTTGACCGCCAGACGTACTACAGATCGATCGCGCTACCTTACAAACGTTTCGTCTTCTCGGGCTTGTTGCACCACCTAAATAACGAAACGCGACAGCAGAAGACACGTTTCACTTTTATCTGTACTCTGATTCTATTCATTAGAAGAAGCTCGAAATACTATTGATAATTTGATAACCAAACTTCAAATTGCTAGTACATTGTGATTTTGTGTCACGAAAGCATACGATTTCCTTGCAACCAGCTAAATTACAAGAAAAACTTAATGGTACCTGCGTTAGCTATCCATTTTTCAAAAGGAGACAGATGAAAAATGATCCTAATGGTCAGAAGCAAATCACGTTATAGATTTACTGCTTGTGCACTACTAGTTGTTACCAGAATATTAAATAATTCATTATTGAAACCTGCTAAACCTTCCATTGATCAGCCACGTTCTCAAATTATTCGCCCTTCGACAGGAAGGATTAAATATCCAAGTCTGAAACTTCGAAACTCTAGTTTGACTGACAAGGGAGGCATCTCAACCGCCCAACTTCGATTTTATCGGGCTTCCGTAAAACAATACTGATTTTAAGAATTTTAATTAACTGCTACCAAGATACACCGCGAATCTAACGACGCAGAGATTTTATTTTCGCGAGATGGTCCGTCACCGTGATCGGCACCATATCGTCGATTTCTCGCACGACGCCATAAATTCTTTCGCACGAAGAAACCTGGATAATAGCAAACGAGAACCGATCGTTGTCGAAACTTGGACGCAACGAGAAACGTCGTAA